AACAGGATGTGGAAAAACTTTTTTTGTAAAACGTTTTTTAAAAAAAATTAGGGAAATTTGTGATATCAATTTTAGTAAAGTTATATTTTGTTACGCTGAGTGGCAGAAGGGTTATACAGAGTATGATAAGACATTTGTTGAATTTCGTGAAGGTTTGCCTCAGTCCAGTGATTTCGATGATAATTTACCTAAGTTAGTAGTAATAGATGATTTAATGCGAGAATCTTCAAATGGTGCTATTGTCGACTTATTTACTAAAGGTAGCCATCATAAAAATTTAAGTGTTATGTTTCTGTCGCAAAATTTATTCCATCAAGGAAAAGGTCAACGAGATATATCTCTGAACACAAATTATATTGTAGTATTTAAAAATCCCCGGGACAAGAAGCTTATTTTGATGCTACATCAAAGCCACACGGTTATCTGCTCTTAGATCTTAAACAATCTACACCCGAAAACTGTCGGTTTAGAACATGTATATTTCCATCGGATCAGTATCATTATGTTTATATTCCTAAAAAAGTTAATGCTATAAAAACAGTTAACTCTTCTACTAATGTGCCAGTTCTACGTTTATGATGGAAGGAGGAGGATCTTCTCGTAGGAATTCTGCGAGTAAACCTTTCAATCGTAAAAACGCAGCTCTACTTCAAGCTCTTGTATACGCATCACCCGTACAACGTCGTGCAATACTTCGTCACGCGAGCAAAGATTTAATTCGAATTATATGTGAATGTTGTTTAAACATTTTACACGGAAACATTCCTCTGAAGGATTCTGAAAAAAAATTACTTTATAAATATAAGACTACTCTACGAAAATTAAGTAGTAAAAATAATAATATTTCGATAAAGAAAAAACTTATTAAACAAAAAGGAGGAGCATTTTTACCAATGTTACTAGGACCATTGCTTGCTAGTTTAATATCTAATCTATTCTAAAATTATGGAACATGCGAAAAAGATGGTGCTTATTCCTTATGAAGATATTGATAAAGTGAAATCTGTACCGAAAAATTTTGAACAAGTGTTATTTTCTCTTAGTAATAATTATTTGCCAACGTCTCAAACTCCAGGGGATCCAGAGACTCGTCTTGATGCGGAATTAACTAAAATTTTGAACGAAACTTCGGTAGACACTAACACTCATGATAAAGTAAAACAATATTCTGAATTATTAAGACGTTATTTATTCTTCAAGAATAAACATCACGAGGATAATTCTGCGGTTGAGAAAATTGAAAATACCGAAGTTATTCCTGACACTAATGATTTTTCTGCCATTAATGGAAATCAAGAAATTAATAGTATAGCGATAAATAATAGTATTGCTGAACAAAATAAATCGTATAAAGTTTCTGACATAGTAAATGGTGTCCCAAAAACCTATCAAACAGCAGCGGAAAATATTCTGCGTTATATTGAGTTTGTAGATGGTGGTAAACGGTTAAAGTGGGATGATAAAGGAAGTGTTACTTTGGATGACCGTAAAATACCAGGTGCTAATATAGTTGACCTTATAAATGATGCTGTACGTCATAGAAAAACTGTAAAGGCTACAGGTAGAAATTTTTTTGCTTCATTTTTACAAGAAATCAACACTCCACGAGAATTTGTAGGAAATAGTAGCTTTTGGAATAAAAGTTTACCAAGTATAAAAAAATTACCTATTGACAACTCTACTCCTAAGCGTAACATGAGAAGTAATAATTCATCAGGAAATTCACAAAATTTTCTATCCTTCACGAACAATACTATGCAAAACGGTGGCAATAAAAAACAGTTGTATAAAAATTCATTTAAATGGCTTCGTTTGTAGATGAAGAAAATCTTGAAAAAGAGTACTACGATCCTTCTAACCCTATGTCATACTCCGGAGCACGTAATTTAGTGGAAAAATTCAAAAAAAATATACCTGAAGAAAAAATAAATGATTGGCTAGCTACTCAAGATGCTTACACTAGGCATAGACCTACTAGACGTAAAGTTCCAAGGTTACATTATAATGTGAACAATATAGACGATGTATGGGAGGCTGATCTTGTTAAAATAAAATTTTTAAAAACTTATGATGATGGTGTTTCATTTATTTTAGTTGTAATAGATGTCCTAAGTAAATATGTATGGGTTGAACCCTTATTAGATAAGTCGGGAAAATCAGTTTAACAAGGTTTTAAAAATATTTTTGACCGTAGTAAAGGTCGTATACCTTTTATGATCCAGAGCGATAAAGAAAAAGAATTTGTAGCAGGTAGTGTACAAGAGTATTTAAAGTCAAAAGAAATACATTTTAGAACTGCACGTAACCCTGATGTAAAAGCTGCGGTTGTAGAACGTGTTAATAGAACCCTTAAGGAAAGAATGTGGCGATATTTCACTCATCGCAAAACTTACCGTTACATTGATATTTTACAACAGTTAGTTGAAGCCTATAATCATACGAAACATAGTTCAATAAGAATGGAACCTGCAGCAGTTACTCTCAGTAATGCTAAAGAGGCGCTGATGAATATACAAAAAAAGTTTCCAAAAGTTAAACTTCGGAAAAAACCCTTTAAATACAAGGTGAACGATTATGTACGAATCAGTAAATATAAGTCAACGTTTGAGAAAGGATATGAGGCTGGTTATACAGAAGAAATTTTTCAAATTACTAAAACTAAACTCCGTCAGAATATCCCTACTTATGAATTAAAAGATTTAAATGGAGAAGTGATTAATGGTTTTTTTTATGAACAAGAAATAGTGCGAGTGATTAAAGACCTTGAAAAAGAAGAATTTTTAATTGAGGAAATAATTAAATCCGAGGGAAAGGGTAAAAATAAGCAGTATTTAGTGAAGTGGCAAGGATATCCAGATAAATTCAATTCTTGGATTCTTGCATCAACAATATCAGAATGAATAAAACAGAGTTTCTTATGGCTTTACCAAGTGATAGTAGTATGAATTATTTTCCGGACAACACGGCAGCTCATTACACAACAATGCTACCAGATCACATTAAATTGGAAAGGCAATGGGTAGTAGGACTAAAAGAAATACAGTGCCCTGCAAGTTTTTTTCACATTCAATCAAAAAAAGAAGGAGGAATGTATTTAGTTAGCGCGGGCCCTGCCGGCTATGGAGTTCCTGATATATATTCAGATTTTTACTTACCCAGAGGACATTATACAGACCCAAGGAAATTCATGTCAGCTTTGAATAACTTCCCTGATACTGCAGAACATTTTCGCTTTAAAATAAATGATTCAGGATTTACCACTATAAAAAGAATTTGTAATCCTCCGAAATGTAAAGATACCAGTCATCGCCTTTTGTTATCTCCAATTTTATTAGATATTTTAGGTTTTAACCGCTATGACGATAGAACCAATCAAACAGACTTTCTTTTAGGTACAAAAGACACTGATAGTTATGAATATATAAATGTAAGTGAAAGACCCTTCAGCTTGACAAGAGGGATACCTGATAGATTTTTCATTTATTGCGATATTTGTGCTCCATATGTAACTGGAGACATAAATTCACCGTTATTACGAGCAATAACTTTAGAAACAAGTTTATATTCATACGGAATGACTGTCACCAATAATTACGGCTCTCCTAATTATATACCCATTATATCGAATTCTTTTAGAACAATTGAAATAGATATAAGAAATAATAATGGCGATCCTATGCCATTTG